GTGACTCAAGTATTGCCACCTCCTTTAGCTAACCATGTGAAGATGTGCAAGTCTATGGTAGCTGTGTGAGCAGTGACTGCTGGCAACTAAAGACTGAGAAGAAGGGCTGTGACACCAGAAAGCCTCCTTACAGCTCTAGATACACACAGGACAGGCAGTCTAACACTAGTGTTGGGACAGCATGTGCATGCCCTATGGCCCCAGTACAACCCTGTGCTGCTCAGGTCCTGCATGTGCCATCAGCAAAGAGGAAGTGTCAGTGAAGCAGCTGCTTCAGAGATTGTCTCCTATTTCTGTGCATCCCAATTCCTCTGCTGTCATGTGCTTGCTCGCAGTTTCTACTCTCCCAGACACACCTGGGTTTAACATGCCCACACATGAGAGAACGCTGTGAACATATTTTTTTTGCCAGCTTTCATTAGAGACTCATGGGCTTAAGGAAGAGGGAGTTTAGCAGCCACAGTTCAGCAGACCTCAGCATTTAATTTTCAAATGCCCCTTCCAAATGCCAGGGCTGAATAACACTTAAACTGTTATCACTCCCCAAGAAAACCAAGTGCAGATCATGGGTAAGCCATGACCCTGTTCTTCTCAGATACACAGGAAAAAAACACAGTACATATTTAGACATATCTGTCCTCCACCAACATCCATCCCTAAGCCCCATCTGGGCACACAACTTCCCGATTCACACCTGACTTTGACTGTCTTTGACTCACACCTGGGTACCTCAGGGTGTACCCAAGACTAACAATACTCTGAATTTCAAGCTTCTCTCGAGCCCTTATGTCCTCCACAGTCTTTCTGTCTCTTTCCATGTTTGCCACAGAGGGATATCTTGCATTAGCAGAAAAAGCAGAAGCTAATGGTGATGAGGGAAATAAATAAAAAGCTTGGTTCTGCTGTTTGGTCAGGAGGCTTACCGGTCACCACAGGGTACGTCTGGGGTCCTGACACATTTGTCCCCAGGTCTGGGTTAGCAGAGGTGGATAGACTTGATTTGACTTCATCGAGACCAGGGGTCAGAGCTGGGAGGGAGTACTCATTACCCTGGGGAAGAGAGGAGAAAGACAGCTCGCTATTGATGCGCTGGGAGAAAGGGAAGGGTGTACAGATGGGGGGGAGGAAGAGGAGAGATGCAAACCCCTGCACAGATGGAAGAGGAGGAGGAGGAGGAAATAGAGAAGATAAAGTGACAAGAGGGTTTGCGGTTTCCTAGGATGAACTATCCCACCCACCTGCGTGACGCTGTGGTATGACTGAGCCTTCATTCAGAGCTGTGGGAATGGGGATGGCTGTCTGTGCCAGCCCAGGGGAAAAGAAAGAGGAAATCCACATCCCCTCCTCTTGGCTGAGTGGAAGAGGGAGGTGTTTGCCCTGGTGACAAGGACAGCTGGGGCATAGGACTGCAATGACATGACTGGGACAGGCGGGCTGTAGGAAGCAGCCACTGTTGGCCCACTGTCGCCAGGGTCTCTGCTGAGTCGTCTGCCTCCCCTCCACTGTTACCTCTGTCCTAGCTCT